GCCGGGCGACAAAGGCGACCTGGCAGTCGGCGGGGCACCAGGTGGAGTAGAGTATGCGCCTCAGGGCGTGGGCCATCAGCAGTACCTGGGAGCAGCAGCCGTGGCTCCATGAGTCTCTGCCCGGCCAGCCAGACCTGCAGCCGCGCTTGGGCCTGCACACCCAGCTCCCAGGGCAGCCCCCTACCCCCGTATTAGGGAACTCAGGGGCTAAGTTCTGGAGTCAGAGTGGGTTTCAAAGCCTGGCTCTGCCATTTATTCTGTGTAACGGGGGCAGGGGCACCGTCCTCTGAGCCCTTGTGTGACACATGGCAAGTGTGACAAGTTCCTCCCCGGTGGACACGGGTCGGTGCGGACTTGTGACAGTGGCACAGACCTGGCCCCGGGGCCCTGCAATGCCCAGCTCCCGGCAGCATGTGCAGCTGGCTTCAGGCCCTGCGGCCGTGCACCATCGGGCACCACAGGGGGGTAGGCGTCCCAGCAGGGGCTCCCACCTGGCCTGCAGCCAAGTCTGGCACTCCCTCCATGGCCACCTGAGGCTGTCCACAGCCTACTGGGCAGAAGCATGAGGAACCGGGCAGGGCAGAGTGTTCTGGTGCTCAGGCAAGGGACAGCCCAAGGGGTGAGAACCCATCCCCCAGCTTGCCCAGAGCAGGCAGGTATGCCAGGGAGGTTCCGGGAAAGTGCCAATAGTTCCCCCTCGCACCCACAGGGCTCCTACCTCGCCCTCCCCACTGCAGATCTTGAGCCCCTGAAGGCTGAATTTCAGGATGACGGCACGACGTCGGGGACAGTCCTGGTAGAAGAGAGCTGGTCACTCCCAGGCCTGCCCTGCCCCCATCCTGCCCACTGAAGCCTGAGACCTGGGCAGCAAGACAGCCCGGCCAGAGCTGGCCACACTGTGGGGACACCCCGCAGGGCCCAGCTGTGGCTTCCGGCTGTGGGGCATAGGTCACAGACAGCCCAGAGGACCCCCTGGTGGGTCCTGACTGGGCCGCCTCCCAGAACGCCTCTGGTCCTGCCCCTCCCGGGCTTCGCCACCCATCTCTATGACAGAATGAGGGATCTAGTCTCTGGGGTCAACCCCAGCCTGAGAGCCCAGGGCTGTCATCCCCAGGGAGGGGAGGAGGGGAGGGGCCCACCCACCTTCAGCGCCCACAGATGCTGTTGCACCACCCACACGCTCTCCTGGGTGTCCAGGTCGTCCACAGGGAAGGAGCCCACGTACTGCTTGGCAGCAGGGCAGGAGGGTATGGGGCGGGGAGTCAGGTTCACGGTTGCTGACCCCCAGCCTCCAGGTTCCCCCCAAACACACACTCCACTCTGCCAGGCTGTGGGTGGAGATAGAGCACTGCCCAGGGGACTGTGGGCGAGTCAGCCACAGTGTCGTCTGTGCACCGCGCTCCAGGCCTGGGCCAGGGAAGGGGGACCCACAGCTCCCTCCACCCCGAGACCACTGCCCCGGGCCACTGATGGAGCACACGGGAGGGGCGGCCCCACCCACCTGTGCAAACTTGGTGATGCACCTGGGTCGGTGAGTGACAGGCCCACAGTCAGAGGCCCTCCGGCCCCCCGCCCCAGCCTTGTGCATGGCCTGCAGGGTGCCCAGCTCCGAGCTCCACGGGAGAGAAGGCTGCAAAGGGCAGAGGGGAGGCTGTTTTCGGGCAGGCCAGCTGTGCTCCCTGTCTCAGTTCACTCATTCATGCATTTAACGAGCCTTACTGCCTGCTACATGCCTGGCAGTGTCCTAGGCTCTGGAGACACAGCCCTACAAGAAATGACGACCCCTGCCTGCCCACGTGGGGCTGACATTCTTGTGGAGAAAGACACAGGGCAACATGATGTAGACGGCTAAGTCAGACAGTGCTGAAGCAGGGGAGAAGGACGAAAGATCCGGTCGGGGTGCTGTAGCTAGGACGCCCTTGCTGAGGGGGTGAGGTCGGGAAGGCACCACCGAAGAGCAGGGGTGTGGAGGCCACTAGAGCAGAGTCTGCAAAGACACAAAGGAAGGGAAGCAGAGGACGGAGCCCTGACCGTGGTGGCAGGCCATGTCCAAGTGGCCAGACATGGGAACAGAGCCTCTAGCCTGTGGGCAGCAAGAAACCAGAGCAGGCTCCAGGGCAAGTGCCCGTGAGCTGCAAGTCAGAGCAGAGGGGGTCCTGCCTCACAGGCCTCTACCTCGTTCAGCTCAGCCTGACTCCAGCCATCCAAGGCCCTGCCCTTTGCAGAGCAGCGGCCACTGTGCTGAGGCTGAGGAGGGTGTGACGCAGCTCCTCTGTCCTGGGACCTGCTTCCGGGCCCACGGGTGGTGGACAGGAGCCCCCTTCCCAGACTGTCTTCACATGCAGGGACAGAGCTCTGCCTCACACAGCGGGGCCGCAGTGGCACTCCACCCACGTGGACTAAAAGCACCGGTGGACCATGGAAGGCTGAGCCCCCCAGGGACCCAGCTCCCTCGTCTTTTGGTGGGGCTGACCCAGGAACCCGCCTCTGTCCCTGTCCAGGCTGGCACTCTCACCAGCCTTCTCGGAAACACTCTCAGGACCACAGAGCTGTGTTCAAATCCTGTGTGACTCAGGCAAGCTGCCTCATCTCTCTGGGCCTCCGAGCCTGGGGAGTGGATGGGGACAATGGAGGAGCAGGGACCCAGCATAACACCAGCCAGGCCTGCAGCTGGTACAGGACAGCTCCAGTCTCACAGGGGGTGGGGACTCCAACGCCTGCCCTTCAGAAGGGACCTGGGGAGGGAGCAGGGCCTGGCCCCTTTCAGCTCCTCCTTGCCTGCAGACCACACAAGGTTCCCACAGGAGGCTAGACAGGGCCTGGGCAGGAAGGGGCATGTCCCGGGGTGCTCCACTCCCTGTGGCAGTCTTGGGGAGGGGTGGGTGCTTTAGAACTGACACTGTTGGTACCAAGAGCCCAAGAACATCCCCATGTCTACCTGCCATGACCTCCGACCCCAGGGTCAGGCCAGGGTGGTGGAGGCACCAGCCTGATCAACCACATCTGATGAGCGGCCAGCAAGGGAGAGTCAGAAAAGAGAGGTTTCCCTGTGCTCTGGAAGCCTTCCTGGTCCCTCCTACCTGGCTTCCCTCCTGCTTCTCTGGGCCATCACACCCTCCACCGTTTTTCAGGTTTTTTGCCAAAGTGCACATGCACTCACCCAAGAGAGGCAGAAGGACATAGAGAGAGGGAAAGTGTGAAATCCCCCCAGGAGCGACTGTCCCACCACAATCCCTTTTCTTTTACTCTCCTCTCGGGATTCTGGGTACACACACACCTGGTATGATTTTCCAACCACCGAATCTGGAACTCGAACTGCAGTCTACATATGGGAGTCCAGAGCCTTAACCACTACGCCACCCGCTGGCCAAATTCCCCGCTTTTTGATCCTGGTCATTCTTCACCTCACAGAGAAATAAACTCAGCCTCCTGCACTGCATTCTCACAACAGGACCTGGATACCAGATGGGGGGGTTCCCACCTGTCCCCAAGCAACAGAGTGGGTGTTCTCCAGCTTAACCCCCGATGCCAACTCCCAGGAGACGGTACATGAGACCCCACAGGGGAAGGCTCTGTCCCCAGGACCGCCCCCAGGGACACGCCAATTCTAAGCTCTGCGCTGCTTCCCCTGTGTTTCTGGCTGTCCGGCTAACTCAGGGGCCCCACGAACCCCTTCTCAGATTCCACTAACCTGCTAGAGCAGTTCACAGGCCTTGGGAGTCACCTCCTTCCATTTACTGGTTTATTATGAGGGATATTACAAAGGGTACAGATGGAGGGGTGCTTCGGACCAGGCGTAGAGGAGGGGCCTGGGGCGCCCCCAGAACCTCCACATGCTCCGCGGTCTGCAAACTCCCAACCTTATTCTTCAGGGCCTGCGAAGGCTCCGTCGCTCGGGCACGACTGACTAAATCAGTGGCTGTCGGTGACGTGGGTGATCAGCGTCACCTTGAGCCCTCTGGAGGCTGAGGGTGGGGCTGAGCCCGGACACTGCTCCTGCCTGGGGTTAGTGGTGGACCTGAAGTGACCTGGGGGCGGCCGGCCAGCAGCCATCTCACTAGCGTACGAATGACACTGAGTGCTCCGAAGAGCCCGAGCGTTCGGTTGTGTGCCAGGAAATGACCACGAGGACCAAATGCTGTCTGTTGCAGTGTCACAATGCCCTTCCCTACCGCACCTCTTAGTTTAGATAAAGCAAAGTTAGATGTGTCACCAGCGCTAAAGCCACGTGACACTGTTCCAGGTAAGATGTGGGCTCTCCGTGAGGCTGCCTGTTAACTTCATCCTCACATCGTGGGGCTGGGATGGCAGGTGGCAGAGAGAAGAGGCGAAGACCGAGAAACAAGCAGGGGAGAAGGGTGGGGGAGAGACCAGAAAACAAGCAGAGGAGAGGGGCAGGGGGGAGGGCAGCAGCTGTGGGTGCAGAGGGGTGAGGGGGTGAGAAGACAAAAGCAGCAGATACAGGAGCCGGGAGAGCCAGAGCGCGCTTCCTGCCCAGGCTGCCGGCAGCAGGCACGGCCCCTCGGGCAGTGAGAGTGCAGATGGAAGGCACCACATGGGCTGCACACACACGCACACACACACGTGCGTGCACACACACACACGCAGCTGTGTCTCGGGCTGCGAACTGCCTCTTCCTTCCAGACCCAGAGCTGCAGCTTTGGGGGCACCCAATATCTAACTGCACGGGTGGGAGGCCAGACCATGGGTCCTCTTTGCCCCCCATAACCTGATCCCTCACCCCCCTGGCCCTTACCCTCCTTGGAAACTAGAAGTTTCTCCCTTTCTCCATCTCCCTTCCAAGCCAGAGGGTACAGCACATTTCAGCCCCAGGCCTGGAGTAAAGTGGGGTTCTCCAGAGGACCTGGTGAGGGGGTGACAGGTTTACCCCAACCCTGGAAACAGACCTGCTTACCCATAATTCCGGGCACCAACACCCACTTATCTCTTTTACCTGCTTTTCCCAGGTTTTGCACAGGAGCCTATCTGGGTCAGCACCTTCCGAAGGGGATGCGCATTTGGAACAAGGCTGGGGCTCGCCCTGCTCAGAGACCAGACTAGATAGGAGGACCTGCCCTGGGTCGAGCCTGGAGGCCTTCTGCTGCACACACCATGGCTGAGTTGTGTCTCAGGGACGGCCCACCTCCTCTGCTCCTCTAAACCACCACCCAGCCTGCAGATCCTGGACTCAGCAAATGGCTCAGAGAGGGGAAGTCACTTGCTCAAGGACACACAGCATAAAAGGGGAACAGGGAAGCAAATTCAGCTCTCAAGGGGCCCTTCTGCTAAAGCATGGCTGTACCCTCTGCTCAGACTCCCCTCCGCGAAGTAAGTAGAGTGCCCAACAATGGAGCCTGTCCAGGAAAGGGTGAGGCAGGAAGCAGCCCCCGTGGGCAGAGACCAGCTTATGAGCCGCACTGGGCTGATCTCAGCAGAACAGCTGCCTTCTCTCACACTGCCTCTCCTGGGCCAGACGGTCTGGGCCTGCGAGAGCCACCCACTGTCCCAACACTCCCCCACCTGTCCTAGGCTCTGGGGTCCCAGGAGACTTAAGACCTTAGATGTGGGGTCCATCTTGGTTGGCTGATGCCACCCTGGACAAGCCCCGTAACCCCCCAGCCTCAGTTGGCAACTGGAAACGGGCGACAGCAGCTGCCTGCTGGGGCTCCTCTAGCGGTCTAAGACTACCTCCCAGAGCAGACTATGCCGGGCGCTGGTGCAGGCGGGCCAAAGTCCCAGCCGGCGAGGAGCACCCAGGCTGGGGTGGGAGGGCGGCAGGGGAAAGCGGCACCATTCCAGGGGGGGTAGCGTGAGGACACCCAGGCGCGGAGCGGGATCGGGGGGCTGTCTCATACAGCGTGGTTGAGGTCGGCCCTACACAGACGACATTTCCACAGAAAGTGCTATCTGCGGGATTCGAGGGGACGCAGCCGCTCAGCTCCCAGCACCGGTGCGCGGCGCTCCGCGGCTCTGTGCGCCCCTCCTGCGGAGCGCGGCCAGGGCTTCCG